GGGGGGGGGGGCAAGAATTGTAAGACCAACCTCTAAAAGGTTAACTGTTACCATGTTCAAAGTATGTTGCCCTGGATACACACATTTTCCAATAAACTTACAGTAAAAAAAAAACTGTATTAGCGTCTCAGCTCAGCCATAACAAAGAATACACTTTGTGTGACGGAATAATATATGTTCTCACTTCAATATTTTCAATGGTAGACATATCCCGTGTTCCATATTCAAAGCCACGCTTCCGTTGCCTAGGTGAGCAGCAGCTTCTTGCTCGATCTCCTCCTGCTTTTCTGGACTGGCCAGATGCTGTCCGATGTTCGCGCGGAGAACAATGCGATGGTGTTTCATAAATACGTGCACCCATCAAACGTTACTAAAAGCGCGCTCTTGTTATCGCCGGATGTGGCACGATAAGGAACCGATGGCACGCTAAATCGCTTCAAAGCCACTTAACGTAACGTGTAATATCGATTAGAGTTCCCCTAGCAAATAGAGTGCCCTTCGAATAGAATGCGGTTCCGCAGAGCACTCTAAAAAAATATAGTGCGATCAATTAGAGTGCGCTAACAAAACAACCTTTCAAGATCTGGACTGTGCACCCTAAACCACAGCTCTAGACACCACTCGTTTCGCCCAACACTGCCACCGCCATTCGTTTCCTTCTTCACCACTGACAAGGCTCAAGTGCTTTTGTTTCATCAGCCTCCTTTCTGCTATACCTGCACAACGTAAGTCCGTCGAGATCAGTCTCAAGCAACAGGCTATCGACTGGATTGAGTCCAAAGGTGGTGGAATTCCATCTCGAGCGGAGCCGCACTTTCGTCAGCTCGGGTGGCGAGTGTCGGCGTCTGCCTATCGCAAATGGTGGCGTGATCGCGACCAAATTCGTACGGAGTCTGTTGCTCGCTTTCGGCTTTTTGGTGGGGGCCGCTAGCCCCTCCTAGGAGTTGTTGAAGACGAGTTGGTTGATTAAACTGAAGCAAAAGATATGTTAGCGAGCTTGCAGCTAGGTTAATGACAATGCAGAAGGAGACTTACCATTATAGCACGGAGAATTAACGTATTCGATGGGAATCGAACCCGCGACAACCCTGCTCCCACTTGGGGCCCTCAATAAACCCAAGTGTCTTAACCACCTGAGCTGTCAGTGCTGATGTCGGAATAGAGTGCGCATAAAATAGAGTGCGCAATTTCGATTTTACCGCACTCTAAAAAAATAGAGTCCCGCACTCTAATACGTATTATACGTTAGAAGGGACGCATCAAACTTGAATCATGCCTTCTTTACACGGTCATGTTCTTCCATAAAATGAGGATAAAGCCACACCCGCTGCGACGGCGGCCTCTGCCAAGTAGGCATTTCCTGTTAGCACGACCCCTCCCCTTTTTTCTGCGTCCTGGTACCACTACTGCTCTCCGTGTTGTTTTCAAAATTCTATTGTGTTTGCACCACCAGTCCATTGCCTTTGCCAGGTTAGTTTGCGCATTCGTGGCGTGAAAATGGAGGAAAGGTATCTACAGATCTTGCGAACAGCGTCGCATCGTCACTGGCTTGTTTAGTCTTTATCATCCAGCCCACAACTTTCCGTCGCTGAACAAATCGGTGTGGGCATGGGCCATTGCCCGGAGTCCCGACGGTGGCGGAGCGACGACTCCACCATCGCCGGCACGTCTGCTGGCCTGGCTGTGCCCTCAAGCGACGATAACTTTGTGGTGTTTGCCTCAACTTCTGGGCGTGATGTCGGATCAATATTAAGTCGAGCAACGGGTCGTTGAGTTGCAATCACAACCTTACGCTCTGCCCGTGCAAGTGCAACTAGAAGTGGCGAGGGTGATATCATACGAGCTGAAGTTATTGAATGTGAGACTTGAGCAGTTTAGGTAGCATTAGAGCTGGAATTGATATCAGGCGTCGACTCGGCAGACGTTGAGTTGCTCGCAGGGGGTGCAGCAGGTCTGGTATCACACCGCGGGCACTTCATCGCCTGGCGGAATCCCTCAGGTCCGACGGGAGCTCCACAAATGGGATGCACGGAAGCACAGCAGCCTTGGCATCGATAAACATTTCCCACTCTTTCTCCGTAATCTCCACAATGAGATGCGGCAGTGGTATTGGAGGCATCTTTTTCCAGTCTTCGGCCTCTTTTAACTAGACTAGTTGGGTAATGAACGAAGGACTGACCCTCCTATGCTAGGACAGAAGGCAACTTGACGTACAGCCCGATACACTGAAGAAAATGGATACAAAATGGAAAAGAAAGAAATAAAGAGGTAACAAAGAAATAAAAGAGAGGTAATCCGCGTGCTCATTTGCGCACCTTCCGCCCTAATTCTAATTGTACGATAGAATAAAGATTTGATCTTCGGCTTTGCCTCTCCATATGGTGCCAACCATCATCACAGCAGATACTTGAACCCAGATCATGGGACTTGATGGGCAAAAACTAAACCGCTAAGAGAGAGCCCATTTTTACCCAGACTAACGAAAATTCCCGAATAGTACCCGGGACATTATTTAATAGTACCCTATTCGATTTTCAAAAAGGTTACTTTGTATTTACAAAAGGTTACGCTTCGTTGCGTCCTACTCGTCGATTAAAACGATGTCATCATCATAGAGCTCGTCAAGGTTGAATACGCCGTCTTCTTCATGTCTTTCACCACGATCTTCCCACTTTGCACGGAACTATTCTCCGTAGATATTGTGGCGTGCAACGTGCCAATTATCGGCGAACCCTGCGGCAGCTACAGATTTTTTCACTGCACTGCTGTCAGTGTCACTCCACGCGTTTTTGATCCACTGACAGACTATACCTACCGATGTCATGCGTGGGTTACCAAATTGCGTATACTCGACCTTGTCACTCTCCTTCCACGCATTAATCTCCATGTAGAGTAGATCCTTGAAAGACTTATATATGCCAATATCTCCAGATTGTAAGTAGGGAGTAAGACCGCCAGGGATGACGCACATTATCACGCCTCTACCAGCGCACTTGGCCTTAACCTCCTTGGAGATGTGCGCCCGCATCGAATCCCACGCCAGGTGTTGCCCCTTGCTTGGATCGACCCATCAAAAACCAGGTCGATCCAGCGCTTCAACAAGGTGCTGTCAACCTACGCACGCTACCGCCGTCCAGCTTCTACCCCTTGGCACGGAAGTGCTTGATGGCCCGTGTAGGGACTTGCTCGCCGTGTTGGTCAATCCACTGGACGGCTTCCAGCTTGTGCCAATTGCTGATAGGAACTCTTGATGGCATCTTTGAGAATAATATAATGCTAAAGAGGCGCTGAATAGAAATTCACGCTGTCGAAACGGTCGGTGGTGTGCCTCCAATGGAATGGATGGCAACGAGTACAGAACATTCGGTTTCGGTTTGGTTATCCAGGGGTTATCAACAGGTTATTGTTACTAAGAGGTTACACGAGGATAACACTATTCAGGTACCGGGTATTATTCGAAATTTTCCGTTAATTATGAATATATTTGCTGAGGTTAATTTTGAACCTGGTCAATTTCGATTTACATGAATTAGTCTTAACTAGGCTATTTCTGAGTACAATTTATTTTAATTACTGTGACCTCTGTAGCGACCTGGGAAGAGTGAAGAAAAATGAGCTCTGAGGCTAATTGCAAACGAGCGCGGGTGTCAAGAGTGTTTTAACCAACAAACGTTACATACTGTGATCTGATTGTCCACCGTGATTGCACGGTGATGACCATGGGACGTAGGCCCGTCACAGTATCGTCTACTCTGGATGCACACTTATCCGAAAAATCTTGGAACTGATCACGTTGGTCACCGGCAAGTCAGTTGGTATTTCGATGCTTGGAGAGCAAAGGAAGCAGGAGCATCATGGGCGCGGGACAAGCTTACGCGACAAATCTGGACCAGCTGCCGCGCGAAGTGGCTCACGGACGGTGGGCGTTGTATGACTGCAGTGTCTTCGATAGTCCGAGCAGCGCGGAGTTTGTTTCACCGATAGCGAACGACTCATAGTATGCCCGTCACGAAATGTGGCACTGTGACCGCGAGATCGCTGACACATACTGTACTGCTTTCCCCGAGCACCGGACAGAGCTAGCGGGCGTTTGTGCCTGGTCCGGCAGGTCTGTAAGCTGTTTTGTTAGCATATTGCATGTATTACTTCGGTCATTTTGAGGAAGGCTATGCAAATTTTCGCGGATATGGAATTCGACGACCCGACGCCTGACAGATGGCTGGTTCCTCCCCGAGACATCGCTGTCCGAGACCAAGCTTCAAGCTATCCACCGAGCGCCAACTGATCGCTTCAACATGCTAGGCGCTAGACGTGGTGCACCACGTTTCGTGTAGAAGACCAGTCCCTGCCGCGAGCGTTGCCTCGTACGCCTCCACGCGAGCGGAACGTCGATCAGAAACGCTTCACGGTGTTTCCAGCTATCAAGCATTGGACCAAGCCAAAGCACTAGATATTGGTGACGTAAACAGACGCCATCGCCGCATTGGCGGACGCCGTGAACTTGCTGAGAAGCGGCGCGATCGTCGCCGTATTGGATATATTTAGCAATTTATCGTGCAAATCTACAAGAGATGCGGAGCCATCACGTTGGAACACAGAACCGTTCTCTGGAAGAGGCTGCTGCGGACGCACAGATTCTGGGCCGTCTTGCCCAGCGCTTGGACGAATTGGAACCCAAAAATGTGGACCTGTACGACAGACTAGATGAGCAAGGGGAGGAGATCGTGCACCGCCGCAGGGGGATCGTTGGGGCACTGACGCATAAAATTGGTGTTGCCGGGGATTAATGCCGAGATATCATGGACTTTGTAATGGGCTCACTAAGTGCCCACTACTTCGGCTTACACATTAGCGCACGTGTACGAGGAAGCGTAGTTTGCTTAAACTTAGATTAACTATACTTACGTCTCGTAAGTATAGATTTATTTAAATAAG